GCATGAGGGGCCGCGGGGCGCCGCGCCGCGGCGTCGGCGGCGGGGGGCGTACGGCATAGCCGGGGAACGGCGGGGGGAGGCGGGGCCGGGGGGGTAAGAGCGGTGTTGTTGTGGGGTCGAGCGCGGCTCCCTGCATGTGGAAAGTGAGGCGAGTCAGGGAGCCCGGCGGCACCGGCGAGCAACCGGCGGCACGGTCCTGAGTACCCGGGCTAAGCGGCGGCCGCCCGCCATGGATTGCAGCCTCCTCCGGACCCTCGTCAGCCGATACGTGAGTACCGCCGGTTGGGCCCGTCCCGCCGTGGGGCCGCCTTTCCCCTCGCCCGCGGCCGGTTCCCGCCAGCCCCGGAGCCGCCTGTGAGGAATCTTTCTCCGGGGCTTCCCGCCCTCACCGCGCAGCTCGCAGCCCCGGCGGGTGGGAGAGCCCGCGCCGCGGCGGAGGGGAAGCTGGCGAGGCTGTAAAACAAGCGGGTCTCCGTTGGGGTGAGCTGCATGGCCCCGGGTTTTACCGAAAGGGCTCGGTCAGGAGTTTGGCGGTCCCATGGCTCTGGCAGGGCGGCCGGGGGGGGGGGGGCTCGGGGGCCGCTGTGCGTGATTTCCCTGGGGAAAACGAGGACGGAGCGGTTGTTCGTGGGTTCCCTGCAGCCCCTCTCCCCGGCTGTCCTTCGCTAAACCAGAACGGGCTGACCCAAGTTCAAAGCACTGTGATTTACAGTGTGCTGAGGTACGTAGTTATCAGGGCAGATAAAACCTCGAGGGTTGTTTTTTTCTTTCTTTTCTTCCCTTTTTTTTTTTTCTTGTTGCGTTGTTTCAGTCAAGCTGCGTTTTGTGGAATTAGCCAATTTAAATACACTGGCGGATGGTCGGAATAGTTCCAAGTTTTTGTAGATGTGCGTGGTAAGATTCAAACGCGCTAAACTCGGTGTACTTTGGGGAAGGAGAGTTGATCTTGCTTGTTGGCCGGCATGTTTTCCCGCACCCATACTGTCCGAAAGAGCAAATCAGTAGTGCGTTAGAGTGGATCCCAGTGTAGGTTGAGGTGCGTCAGTGAGTGCAAATCCCATTTCATCAAACCCCTAACATGCTTAGGATGGTGTTCAGTTTTAGTAAATTGGCGGAATGCCAGTAAGTGCAGGGTTATACAGTACAAGAGTCGGGGACCACCAATACCAGGAAACTGCAAATTTCTGCTTTTGGGTGTAGAAGAAATTTAAAAGAGATGGGGAGAGATAATTGGGATTTCCAGAGACATGTAGCTTTTCTTCCTGTGCAGGAAGTACTGTAAGTAAGGAAACTTTCATGCTTTGACCAAGCAAAAGTAAATACACTTAGTTTTGTGCGTGCCAAGAGCTATCGCCACATAATACAGACTGAAGTCTTTCACCTCTGCTATTTTTCTTTGTTCATAATTAAAAAAGAAAAAGTACTGAGGATTTTTTTTCCTGTTTACAATAGGGTATTATGTGGGATGAGGAGGGAATGGAGAGGTGAGTACTGAAAGCAGCTATGTGTATATGGATCCTTAGAAAGTGGCCCTGAGGGAAGGAGGAGAATATTCATAATAAGGTATAAGAGAAGCAGTAGTGTCTGTGAATATGCAAAGCTCAGGTGAACTGTGCTGAGGTCTGTTTGGAAGCAGGCAGGATCAGTTTGGCTGTAGTGATCTGTCAGTGCTGATCTAACTGTTGGATTTACTTTAAGATTTTTTTGTGTCCATGTGCTCCCATCTGGAGCCTGTACAAATAGTGCATTCATTGTGCACAGAGCATACTGTGGTCTCTTCTGCGTAACATTGTTGCTAACCTCCCTTTCAAAGTAGGCTTAAGCATCAAATATGAAAGAAACAGGTTTGAGAGTAGCTACAGTAATTATTTTAAAAGGTGAAGATGTACATGAGCAGACAGCATGTTGAAAATAAAGCACTTGAGCTTTTAAGCTGTGGACTGTCATCACCCTCCTGCACTGCTAGTGAGAGTAACTCAGCAGTCTGAAAGCTAAATGAAACATTATTACATCCCATGTTGTCCTGGTTTCAGCTGGGATGTAGTTAACTGTCTTCCTAGTAGCTGGTACAGTGCTGTGTTTTCAGTTCAGTATGTGAAGAATGTTGATAACACTGATGTTTTCAGTTGTTGCTCAGTAGTGTTTAGACTAGAGTCAAGGATTTTTCAGCTTCTCATGCCCAGCCAGGGCACCTGACCCAAACTGGCCAACAGTGTATTCCATACCATGGGACGTCCCATCTAGTTTAGGAACTGGGAAGTGGGGGGCAGGGATTTTCGCCGCTCGGGGACTGGCTGGGTGTCGGTCGGCGGGTGGTGAGCAATTGCCCTGCGCATCATTTGTACATTCCAATCCTTTTATTACTACCGTTGTCATTTTATTAGTGTTATCATTATCATTATTAGTTTCTTCTTTTCTGTTCTATTAAACCATTCTTATCTCAACCCAGGAGTTTTACTTCTTTTCCTGATTTTTCTCCCCCGTCCCACTGGATGGGGGGGAGTGAGTGAGCGGCTGTGTGGTGCTTAGTTTCTGGCTGGGGTTAAACCACGACACGTGTGAAGAAGCATTGCTATTTCCTAGATCACACGACTTTCTGTATTGTATGTATGCATGCCAATAGGCTATGTCTAGATAATTGCCTAGCTGTTGCAGGCTGCCTTGTACATTTTCACCTGTTGCTTCTTGTTCTTTTGCATTCCTTCAGTTTCTTAATTTTGAATCCTTTCTTCCAAGGAAAGATCACTTTGAAAAAAGCTGCTGTAAGTAAACTTGTGTTCATCACTTCAGTACGGCCCTTAAGATCTGGCGAGCTGATGCCTGTGTGTGTTGTGTGCTTTCTTTTTGTTTTTTTTATCTCCATGGCTCAACTATTTTTGTACAACTGCAGCAGTGGAAATGAAAATTAATAGTTTGAATGCTGGGCCTGAAACTGACTGCTGTACATGAGTAGCAGATACACAGCAGCAGTATCACTCCATAGTTGTTCACCCGAGCTCTATACACACCAGCTATGCCTCAAATATGGATCTGCCTGCCTCTTTCCAAGCTGCTTTTTAATAAGGGAGACAAGGTAGGGACACCTCTGCAGGAGAGTCAGAGAGGATAGGTATGTCTTGTGCTTATATCAAAGTAAGCTCAGGCTTGGGTTTAGTTAAAGTCTGTACAGAAACTATTCAGTGATTGAGGTCCTAGAACTATGAATTTTTGTTCTGCAAGTTGTGTCCTGGACTTGTTCAGCTGCAGGTCCTTCCCAGAGCAGGCTAATCTCTGGGTTATCCTGAGAGCCCTGGCTGATGCAGGCTGGAGATGTTGTTGAGGTAGCTGGGAGCTCTTACCAGTGGTATGGTGAGATTTTGGGATAACAAACAGATGTACTAATGGAGACTTCTAATAGGATGGTTTCTAAGAGTCCTGCATCATTTCTTTTCTTTCCCTGTACTATATGTTGTAGGACATAAAGGCATAAGTTAAATACCAGGGTTCTTGTCCTGACTGTGAAGGTACCCCCATTCCCCTTTCCCTTACTGTTGTTGCAGTCACTCTCCTTAGGCAATGCAAAATAGCGCATATCTCTAAGGCCCTATGCAAACATAACGATAACTGGGTGCTGTCAGTTCAAGTTGAAGTCAGTTTCCTCGTTAGCATTTTCAAATATTTGTCTGCTGCTTTACCTGCATTGAGTGTTGCCTTTATCTTCCAGGCATTGGAACAGTTCAGTGATGTGGGTTGAATAAAATACATGTTCGGCATGCTAGTCATACTGTAGTTCATATCTCTTCACCAAGAGATGGTGTAGCCTCTTGGACATCACTGCCTCTGTCCTTCTCTTACTAAATTTCTAAATTGACGTTCTGTTGTTATGCCTCCTTATATCCATCCTGCAATTTTTTTTTGTTTTCACTTCAGCTCTTATTTCCCCTCACCGTTACTGCAGCCATGCACAATTTATACAACTGTTGGTGAAGATTAACTTTCTATATAAAAGGTGCTCATGTCAGCTGCACTGCAGTGAAACAAAGTTCAATGTCGTTTTCTAAATCTTCATGATCCTTCAAGCTGAAATATAGCAAAGTAACTTTTCTTAATTTTATCTAATGAGATTATTCTGTATATTTTCCTGCTTAAAACTGTATGAGCTACAGTAGTGGCATCTTTAAGTAACAAAATAGAAATGCCTTTATATACAGCTTTTCCACTATGTGGAACCATAGAATGGTTTGGGTTGGAAGGGACCTTAAAGATCATCTAGTCCCACCCCCCCCTGCCATGGGCAGGGACACCTTCCACTAGACCAGGTTGCTCCAAGCCCCATCCAACCTGGCCTTGAACACTTCCAGGGATGGGGCATCCACAGCTCTCTGGGCAACCTGTGCCAGTGCCTCACCACCCTCACAGTAAAATTTTTTTTTTCCTAATATCTAATCTGAATCTACCCTCTTTCAGTTTAAACCCATTGCCCCTTGTCCTATCACTATGTACCCTTGTAAATAGTCCCTCCCCATCTTTCCTGTAGGCCCCCTTTAAGTACTGGAAGGCCACTATAAGGTCTCCCTGGACCCTTCTCTTTTCCAGGCTGAATAACCCCAACTCTCTTGGCCTTTCCTCATAGGGGAGGTGCTCCAGGGATTCGTGGCCCTCCTCTGGACCTGCTCCAACAGGTCCATGTCCCTCTTATGTTGGGGGCCCCAGAGCTGGACGCAGTACTGCAGGTGGGGTCTCATGAGGGCAGAGTAGAGGGGCAGAATCCCGTCCCTCGACCTGCTGGTCACGCTGCTTTTGATGCAGCCCAGAATGCAATTGGCTTTCTGGGCTGTGAGCACACGTTGCTGGCTCATACTCAGTTTTTCATCCACTAATACCCCCAAGTCCTTCTCCACAGGGCTGCTCTTGATCAGCTCATCACCCAGCCTCTATTTGTGCATTGGTTTGTCCCAACTCATGTGCAGGACTTTGCACTTGGCCTTGTTGACCTTGATGAGGTTTGCATGGGCCCATGTCTCAAGCCTGCCAACGTCCCTCTGGATGGCATCCCTTCCCTCCAGCGTGTTGACCACACCACACAGCTTGGTGGTGTTGGCAAAATTGCTGAGGGTGCACTCAAGTAAGAATCTGAATAAGACTTCTACAATAAGATAAATACGATAAATTTTGACAACTGTATTGTTTAATTTACTTTCCCAAATAATGGAAATAATGGCTATGTGGGGGTAGTATGAAAATTGCCTTGGAGGGGGGGTATACTGTTTGCCACATACTCTGCAAAAA